TGCTTTAAATTCTTGGAATAAGAATAAAATATTATATTCCACTATGCGTAGTCCCGATATGGCATACATAATAATTAATAAATTCAAATTTAACTATTTATTCAGTCTGTCGATCTAAAACAGATGTAGAACAAGTCATACTTAAATTGAGCAAATACAAAAGCGATAAAGAAAAACCAGGAACAGAAACTAAATAATAAATAAGTACATATACAGCGTGTTTCAGTTTATTGTTGCATAACTTTAAGATTTGATAGAACTTTTAAATTAATGCATAAAGTCTATATAAACATGGGTCGAAAATGCGTGGCTTCCGAAATACAGGGTGTTTAAATTTACTTTCTAAATAGTTTTTTCAAAAGAAATTTCGAAAAATATTTGATGTATAACAATGAAAATTGGTATACAAGAGTTTTTTGGTACGACAAAACGAACCATGGGCATAGTTTTACTGTAGCCGCTAGAGGGCGCTCTCTACTGTACCTGTAGTGTATTGAAATGACCGAAAAATTTTTCTTAGTGCAATTTTTTGCTTTTTGAATAAAAATACTGATTCTTCGCAATTTTCAACATAAAAAGCTCTCCTGTGAGTTTTCGTTATAGTTAGCCGTTTTTGAGATATTTCGATTTTTAAGGTTCGATGAGCATTTTTAATTATTTATGGGAAAATAATATTTTTTTTTTACATTTTCGATTTGGGCATTACAAGTAATTAAGATGATCGTTTAGATTGTGTTTTCAAACACAGCAATAAGTCCTAACTCCAAATAAACAGAAAAAAACAAAATATTAATTTGTTTATTTTTCCAATATTATTTTTAACAAAGTAAATTAATTATTTACAACTAAGATGCTATTGGATAGTTAGGACAAACATACAAGATCTAAAGTAGTTGCTCGAAATGTAAACCCAATTGTTCAATACAAAATTCACATCTACGAATGATCGAACGTGGTATAGCATTATTCAAATAAGGACTTATTTCATCACATGCATTCCTGATTCTGTCTATTAGCATATCTCTTGTGGTTACGGGAGTCTGGTACACTTTTTCTTTTAGAAATCCCCACACAAAAAAATATAATGGATTTAGGTCAGCGTATCGTGGAGGCCAGGCGACTGGTCCTCCACGGCCGATCCATATTTCTGGATAATTTTCGTCCAGCCAGTTTCTAACTATTCTCGAATAATGAGCTGGACAACCATCAAGCTGGAACCAGGCCAATCTTCTTAAATCTAACGTAACATCATCCCATATATGTGCATGTTCAGCCTTTAAAAATTCCAAGAAGGTCGCAGCATTTAACCTTGCAGGCAAAAGGTAGGGTCCAAATAGTCGATTACTGTAGATACCAATCCACACGTTCACACTAAATTCATGCTGAAAATTTGTTTCCTGAACTGCATGCGGATTTTCATGCGACCAAATATGTTTATTATGAAAATTTACCACTCCACGTCTAGTGAAGCATGACTCATCGGTCCACAAAACGTTACTTAAAAACTCCCTATTATTATCAGTTCTATCCAGAATCCATTGACAAAATGTGATTCTTCGTTCTCCGTTCCGTGGCTGTAGTCCTTGCACAGGTCGCAAATGGTAAGGACGTCTATGGTCATTTCTAAGAACACGGTGAACATGGCTTGCTGAAATTCCCAAGGCACCAGAAACTCTCCTAACACTTGTGGTCGGATCTCTATCAAACTCACGCAGAATCATACGGGTAAATCTGCGCTGACGAACATTTATGTTTTGATCGCTATGGGGATTTCCAAAACCATTTTCAATTATTTGGCGATGCACTCTTACAAATACTGAGCGAGTTGGATGTCGTCTGTTTGGAAATCTTCGTGCGTATTCTCTGGCTGCTTCTGCTGCGTTTCCATTTACAAAGCCATACACAAAATGAATATCCGCTCTTGATTGGAGAATAAAAATGGCATTTTTATAAAACTTACAAAAAAAACAGGTAAAAGAAACTAAATTTCGTGCATGCACAATTGCAAAAAAACGTTTCAGGTTTCAACAGACAAATCTAACTGTCAACTAATTGACGTTTAACCCTATTCTGCTTTCAATTTCAAAAATATTTGCAGGCTCAGCCTACTTCTAAAAATTATCGAGATACTGACTTTTTAACGTTATGTTATCATAAATAATTAAAAATGCATCGAACCTTAGAAATCGAAATATCTCAAAAACGGCTAACTACAGCGAAAATTCACAAGAAAGCTTTTTATGTTGAAAAGCGCGAGGAATCAGTTTTTTTATTCAAAAAGCAAAAAATTGCACTAAGAAAATTTTTTCGATCGTTTTAATACACTACAGGTACAGTAGAGAGCGCCCTCTAGCTGATACAGTAAAACTATGCCCATGGTTCGTTTTGTCGTACCAAAAAACCCTTGTATACCAATTTTCACTGTTATACATCAAATATTGATCGAAATATTTAAAAAAACTATTTTAGAAAGTAAATTTAAACACCCTGTATTTCGAAAGCCACGCATTTTTCGACCCATGTTTATATAGACTTTATGCATTAATTTTAAAGGTTCTATCGAATCTTAAAGTTATGCAACAATAAACTGAAACACCCTGTATTTAACAAAACAGCTTTTCATTTCGTATTTATGTTTCAAAAAGTATACATACCGATATGCTGAGAAATCATCTTTGAACAACAGAAAATATCGAGTTCCACCCAATGACACCTGCTCCATGGGTCCACAAATATCAGCATGTACTAACTCAAGTTGTGTAGTCTCTATTCACTAACTGCTAATGGTATACGATGCTGATTTCCTGTCAAACACTTTTTACATACAAAATTCTGGCTATCATCTATATAATTTATGTTATTTCTTCTCAGCACATGTTTGATGTGATCCAAATGTTGGTGTGCAGGTTTCCATGTCAGACAGATACTTTTTCCACTTTTTTACTCAAATGACAACTCATAAAATCAAATTTGCTATTAGTATCAAATACTGATAGACTAGCACTACCAGCTTTATTGTTTATAAAATTCATTCTATACAGTTTATTAGCACGTGCTGCTTTTGCACAAAATTTTCTTCTTTCATTAATAAACTGACATTGTTCGTCATTTGACACTAGATGTAAACCTTTATCCAAAATATAGCCTGCTGAGAACAATGTCATCAAAGGTAATGCTCGTCCCAACAAATGCATTTACATTTTCATCATCATTTCCACTGTGACATATTTCCTCTTTTTCATTCTTTAGAGTTTTACAATTTTCAGTCAAATGCCCCTTTTTCTTACAATAATGGCAAATTCTGGAGTCCCTATTTTTATTTTTACGATAAAACTTTGCGATATGTCCTGATAAACCACATGAAAAACACTTGATTGCCCTTTTTGTCTGTCCCGCAAGAGCTACTGCACCTTCATGTGAGCGTAGTCTTTCTTCTTCTATCAAAAGCCTTGACATTAATTCATTTATCATTTGTCTATCTTGAGGAACTGACTCCCATGCTGATCGAAAATGTTTATAAGGCTCAGGCAATGCCATCAATACTTTAGTTATAAACATACTATCTGAAATAGTTTCTCCAGCCTTATTTCTAAGTTCCTCTAGTTTTGAAATAAATTATGACATACTAGACATATCTATCTATCTATCTCTACGATGCTCCAAAGTAAAGAACTTTTATTGCAATAAATGAAGACTCACAACCCATTCCTTCTCATATACCTTCCTTAGCTTGATCCACATTTCACGAGAACTACAACAGGATAACAGATGAGTCATTGGTCCTTCCTCCATTCTTGATACTATTATCTCCTCGGCTTTAGCATCAATCTTGAACCACACAGCTCTTGCTTACAACATAACCTCAATCTGGAACTTCCATACTGCCCAGTTTTCGCCAGTTAGCTTCAATCCAGGTACCACATTAGCCTCCATATCTAGATGTATCCACTTTATCAAAACAACACGTTGGCGATTGTCGATGGCTGCTTTGCCCCCAGTAGTTGCCTCCAGAGAGATCACCTAACCTCAAAAACGTGTTTTGCGCTATTTCAGGCCCTGTTAAAAAACTCCTACAGGAGGAGAAGTTTATCCTACAAGCAAGTGCCCAGAGATACATGTGAAGCTTCTGGAAAGATTTTGTGTGCGACAGAGTTGAACTTGTATGCAAAATGTGTTTGGGATATTTCATATGGTGATATTAAATGGACGTCTTTGAGACCTTGTGAGGTACCTGGGATGCGTCCTCCACTACGTAAATTCATTCTGCCTTTTGACTCAGCTGCGCACCGTTGCATTGTGGCACCTGACGATATCTTCAAACGCGGACCTCCGTTGTTAGCAAGAGTAAATTTATATTCCTATACAGCTCCCCGGACATGCTGCCGGGGCTTGAATGGCAAAAGAAAAACGAAAAAACAAATAGACCAGACCGCAAACAGCACCCCTGAGATGAAATAATAAAGGTCCGCTCTTAATTGCAACTGAAATTACCCACGCTCGAAGAGCTTTAATTTTAACAGAACCACACCTTTGAGATTCGGCAGTCAGCAAGTCGAGCTGTGCAGGTTAATATTTCAGTTTTCCATTATTACTCCTCCACGAAGTTTGACCGCCCTTATTAATATCGCATCAGGCCTTCGGATTGGATGAACAGCCGTGTCATACGTGAAGACGCAGTAAGAAAGGAAAATTATCTTTTAACACGTTGACTGCCACCATGGGCTGAAAAAAAATGTCCTACTGAACGTAAGACAATTTTTCCATGATTTCTTTCAAAATAATCTAAAATGCAAGCAGGACAAAAATAAAACCCAAACAAAAATTAAAAACGCTGTTTTTACACATTGGCATCACGCGGCTTGTCATGACTAGATTATGCCGTTTGGCCGCGTGAGACCAACGCGTCACCACATTTTGCCTGTCTTGACAAGTATATCCGTATACATTGCGTAGCGTATAACATTCGATCACCAGCTTATTAGATGAATGCATCGCAGTGTAAAGAGTTTGTCGCGTGTAACAGTTGAGTTTTTTGTTTATTAGTTTGATCAATAGTTTCTGAAACCCATTATAACCGAGACAAGTAGTATTATAACAGTAATGTCATACGAGGCAGAACAACTTCGCCTCCAAAAACTTTGGCAAGAGCTTTTATCTGAAGACGAAATAGACGATGAAGATTTGTTTGGAGAAACTTCAGCAGATGAATATCAGCCTTCTGACAATACGAGTGACTCTGATTCGGATTCAGGAAAGAAAAGACGAAAAAGTGAAAAATCTGGAAAAACCAAATTTGTTTTTGATAAAACCAACCATCTACTTCGACAGCTAGTGTACAGGACTTTATTGATGGAAGCCAACTGTCAACTTCGGGAGCTGTTGTACAGAAGTTCGATGCTGCCAGTAGTGCCAGTATACAACAAACGATTGAAGATGTCATAAGGAAAATGATGAGTATTGATGACGATGACGATACCAATGATCAAAACCAGGAAAATCAAAACAAATTACCTAACACTGGGTTGGAATGGGGACCATCAACAGGACAATATTTGAAAAAGTTTGATTTTAGTGAGTTGAGTTCTGGATTCACTGCTGAATATCATGAAACATATCACAACAAAACTCCATTTGAATTTTATAGAAGCTTTACGAATGATGAAATGCTTAGTTTGATGGTAAGTTCGAAATAATAATAATAATATAGTGGAAATTTCAGTTGTCTCGAGAAATGGTGTACCACAGCGTTACGTGCCTCGGTAGACCATAACTTTCTCTCAAAACATTTTCCACCTAGATATGTAATGTACCTTTTTCTTGTAGGTTGTTGAAACGAATCGATACGCAAAACAATGTCTTGAGAAAAATGTATATCCGAAGTCTCGTTTGAAATCTTGGCTTGATACTAACCTAGAGGAAATGCAAACATTCATTGGCATCATAATGTGGATGGGCTTATGCAATTTTACATTATTAGAAAATTACTGGTCCAATAATAAAATATATAAAAATTACATAAAACGTATAATGTCCAGAAACCGCTTTCAATTGTTGCTCAAAATGTGGCATTTTTCTAATAATGAATTAAATTCAGAAGACAGACTGCAAAAAATTACACCCCTCATTAATATAGTTATAAAGTCTTTCCAAGATAAATACATACCGGGAGAGTACGTATGTGTCGATGAGACTCTAGTGCCTTTTCGTGGAAGGCTAAAATTTAAACAGTACATTGCCAACAAGCGACACAAGTTCGGTATCAAAATGTTCAAACTATGTACCAAGGGAGGCTACACATACGAATTCATGGTTTATTGCGAAAAAGAAAGATCAGAAGAGACTAGTGTTCCTTCGAAAATCGTTTTGGAGTTGATGAAGAACCTACTGGATGATGGACGTACCCTGTGTACCGACAATTATTATACATCGGTTTCTTTAGCAATGGCCCTTCTGCAACGTAAAACATATTTAGTGGGAACTTTGCGGTCAAATCGGAAATATAATCCTAAAAGTGTGACAGAAAGGAAGTTAAGTGTAGGAGAATCTGCAGCAGCATAACGTAAAGATGGCATAACTATAGTCAAATGGAAAGACCGTCGAGACGTACTAATGCTAAGTACAAAACACAAGCATGAAATGGTTGTCATCAAAAAAGAGATAAAGAAATACAGAAACCCAGAGCAGTAATCGAATATAATCAATATAAATCCTACATAGACATAAGTGACCAATTGAAAAGTTATAACACGTCTTTGCGCAAAAGTCTAAAATGGTACCGGAAATTAGCTATTGAGTTGTTGTTAGGCACAATGTTAGTAAATGCGTTTATTGCATACCAGGAAGTCGCCAACGAAAAATATCCATAACGAACTTCAGAGAAAAGATAATTGAAGGACTCATCAAAGAGCAGATCACACTAACACAAAATGTTGTTCCGCACCATCGCCTGCAAAATCTTGGTCGATCCCAAAGACGTCGATGTGTTGTATGTTCGATAAAATCAAGAGAAACGATGGAAGAAACATTCCTATGCGTAAAACTCCGCAAACGACGCTAAAGTGCATGGGTTGCGAAAAGCACTACTGTTTAGATTGTTTCTTTCAGGTTCACATTTCTACCAAAATTGAATAATATTTTCAGTTTCACATGTTTAAGTTCTCGTTTTGTTTGTTGTTGATCTTTTTTCTTTTTAAAAGGTTTGTCATAATTATTTAGAAATAAAAACCAGTGAAAACTATAACTTCCTTTTTTTACTACAATATTTTGTCATGTGAGACCGCACTGGTATCACACAAGTAAAAGCCAACAGTTTCTACGGGTTCATTGGGCCGCCTATTCATCGATACAATGTAATTCAAATGCAGCTAGGAGACCACCGTGGCTTCACGCAGCAATACGAGTTCGTTGCCAGTGTGAGTCCACTTAGGATTCACGCGGCTAGAATTTTCATAAAACCATGGTGACACGTTGGTCTCACATGGCAGTCAACGTGTTAAATCATGTAATATCAAGTATCCTACTGTGGCACTATCTGCGATCCAGTCGTCCAGCCATGCTTTTCTAGACGGAGACAAAAATCTCAGAGTCTGCGCAGTCTTTCCTGCTCCAGAGATAATTCTTTGAAATCAGACCAAAAGGTTTGCCTCAACTAAAAAACATCCCCAAAATGTATTTGCTGCATTTATCGCTCTCCTTCGGAGCATAACAGGGATGACATACACGAACACCTCGCTATCAAGATCCATTTCCTGAGTATTAATCACCCACTGCAGAGGTAGTTCTCATCGGTGATTTCAATGCATATAATGAGCTTTGGTTGGGCTCAATTAAGACGGTTGTGCAGTTGTAGCGTTCATTATTACCCCAGGGCTGACCCAGCTGGTCACAAGCCTTACTTTTTCCCCCGATTTTCGTCACATGCCAGTACTCTGCTAGATCTTTTTCGTATCAGAACACTCTACAAATAGTATCCCACAAACTACCTGAACTGGGATGGTTGAATATCGCTCAGAGGCGCACCTTGCACTCTACTTCCTTTTTTTATAAGATTATAAAATATAAAATCCCTCCTTATCAACCCAGATATGCCCAAAGCTGTCGTGACTCCAATTTGTTCATAGTTTAGCATTTAAGTGACATTAATAGGGAACAGAAACACAACTAAGGCTTCGAAAACTGCATTTTTATTCAAAAAAGTTGTTTTTGAAGGCGTTATATATATAGGACATTGGGCACTTGCTATGCTACATTGACATTATTTTGGTTTAGTATGATACATGAAAAAACACTTGACATGCAACCCTTTATCACATTTTTGACAGCGAGTCGTTGTTTTTTGATGACAAGCTGCACATCTTGTTTGCTTTTCTTGTGGTACTACCCAGTGGTCCAGGCGGTCATATCGCAACTCCAAATTTTGGAATTGAGATGCATGTACTGTTTGATACACACACCCTTTCTTGTTTTGAACTAACATAATGTTAGCAATAGCTCTTCTGAAAGTTAAATGGTCCATTGTCCCGCCATATGTTTGATGCATTTGCCAAGCATTCTGCACTGCCATATCTATGCAGTGAGTTATGAGAGGGAAGTACCACTTTTTTCCTCTTATACCGGTACGATAGAGGCTTATGTTTTGATCAGAACGATCAATCCCTCCCATGCTCCTATTATATAAATGGACTACATGTGGCTGCTCTACCTGAATGAACTTTTTGTCCTTTTGTGAATATCTTTTCACATAATGCAGAGGATTGACACCAACTGCATTGGAACAAAAAGTGACTATGTTATTATCGTTCCATTTGACAAAACCTATATTACAGTCTTCAATTTTCATATAATCATATTGGCCACGTTCTTGTTTTTTCATATTTTTGATGTCACATAACGTGCTACCAGGAATACGATTTTCTCGTATAGTCCCAGTTCCAAATAATTGCTTTTCATTTAGTTTTTCTACCAGCACAACAGAAGAAAAAAAATTGTCAAAAAATAAATGAAACCTCGGTTTCGGCCACTTTGACCTAAGAACGTCCGCATACTCCAGCACAACAGCTGTTCCGACCCCAAGATCTTTGTAGGTCTTGCTAATGTTTGTAGACGCTCCTTGGTAAGGCTCAAACCAATTTATATATCCTTGTCTGGTAGTCCCAACCCAGAATTTGAAGCCATAACGTATGGGCTTACCGTGGATATACTGTTTGCAGCCATGTCTTCTTGTGTAGGGTATCATGGCCTCGTCGACACTGTGGTCTTCTTCACAGTATGTTCAGAAACTTCTGATTTAGGTGACTAAAAAGTGGTCTGACCTTAGCAAACTTATCAGATTTATCTAAGAAACTATTGTCCTGAAAATGTATATGGGACAAAATAAATTCAAATTTATTTCTCGATATCGCTTCAGCCACAATCTCATTGTGACAATCTTTAGAACGTTCCCAGAACATTCTGCGGCGTGGAAGAGGAACAATACCACTCAAAAGAAGCACCCCTACAAAACATTTCATTTCGCTAACACTTACTCGCATCATTTGATTTTTTTGTGACGCATACCGATTTGTTTCGTCTGTAATCTTTTCAAAAAGCTCGTCATCAAAAACAAACTAAATAGAGAGAAGGCAGAACATTCAGATTGGTCATGATCAAAAAGTTCCTCAAAACTACCACTAGTTATTGTTTGTAAATCTTCTTTCACATAGTTATAGTGTTTTTCCTTCTTTGACTGTTTACGTGTTACTTTGATTGCGTCTGCCAATTGACTTAGGGGTATATCGTCTTCTGAGTCCATATCACATCCATCATTTATTTGGTATCTAGAAGACACTTCCACTTCACTCTGCATTTGAGACGCTGGTAAATTATTTATATCGACATTGTCTTCTTCGCCCGAATCTTCATCGGTAAGATTTTCTGAAGCATTGTTAGGTGGAAAAGTGTGATAGTATCAGCCTCCACTTCGTCGTCTTCTATCATAGCTAGGGCTTCATGTAATGAAAACCCTCTGTAACAAAAAAAAACCCGTAGTACCAAAATATGCAGCGAAATAATGTTATTTCATAGATGCGTAGCCACTAAGGACAGGGTAGTATAAAAAAGTGGCAGTACCGCATTTGCCCAATGTACTTTATATAGGACGGTTATATTTATCCCTAATCTGTGAAAAAGATAGGCAATAATATTTATTGCCTCAAACATATTTACTTTCTGGCTTTTTTATATGTAAAAATTTCCTCCATTGTATGAAATTCAGTCCAATGTAAATAATCAAAATACAGCTTACCTTGCAAACCTGACGCCATACTCAGCCATCTTCTCGAAATACCGAAATTAGACCCGAACTGCAATCTGTCAGACAACTACGACACGCTGCTGCACCTTAAGCCGAACAACGTTATACTGACCAAAACGAACGAATAAATCGATTTTTGCAGACTCCCTTC